CCTTGCCAGTGTATTTCTTGAACATTCCCTTCCTTTTAGTCCAGATTTATAGTTTGCATTTTTTTTTAAAAAAAAAGCTATGTTGGTAAAATGATTGAAAGCCTCCGATGTAATTATTTCCTATTGCTGTCTTTTACGTATTCTACAGGATTTTGTTCATGCATGCACATTAATCATGAGATTTAAAAATATACAATCCCTGACTAAAATAAGAGCGCTCCAAGGTTACAGCTTGACCTGTGAATCATAAGACAAGTAGCGTGCAAAGACTGCTGATGCATTCTGCCGATCAGTGAAGGAAACTGGGACAGTGACCTATGAAAGTATGCTTCAAGTGAATATAGGCTGTGCCAACACCTAACACAACTAAAAGTATTCCATTTTATTTTCTACTATGTTGAATAAATTTAAGATTTCATGGTTAGTTTGTGGTTCAGCGCATCATGTAATTCAGCAGAGTTGGACTGAGCGAATCAAGATTAATTATGGGTATGAGTGCTATGAAAACAGCCATTGCTTGCAACTTTCATTGGTTTATGTGCACAAAACTTCAAATAAAAATGTGCAATGTGTAAATTGGGAGAAGCAAAATCCTAGGTCTAGTTAGCAGCAGTGGTACCTGCTGATACAAAAGGAGGATAATTGTGTTACATGCAGGAAATTAGCACACTATTTACATTGTTCCTGATGCTTTCATTTATTTGGCAAGGAGATGGAATAGTTTAAAGAGGAATAGCTTAAATAGGCAACTAGCAGCTATGAGCCTAGGAGGACTCCTAATGAATATATTTTCAGTTCATCTAGACTCAAAGCCAGGGAACTGCTGGTTTCAAATGATATCAAACCTGTAGTCATTCCACATTATAGGTTTGGCCCTGAATGCTGCTGATTATAACTTCCAGACACTGAGAACTCCAGGAATCCCAAAATAATGGGAGCATAAAGAACAAACCACAGGACCTGGGAGCAGAGTTTCCAAAATGCATTATCCAGTGGTGCTACAGAGCATTTAAATCAAATGTGTTCCAAGAAAACAGTTCTTATGATAGATAAAGACAATATTTTACAATAACCAGAATAGTTTATTTTGTCCTATAAAACAAATATTTAAATCCAAAACAAGTTTTCTGTATTTAGCTAAATAAGATAAAAAATTATCTTCATTCATATACAAACTAAGGATTTAAACAATTATATACAAAACAGCCAGATCTCTAAAAAAAGAGAAGTTCAAAATACAGCGGTGTAACTTTTATTACAAAACATTAAAGCTACTGGCTTCACATTTAATTTTTCACAGAACTAAAACTAAACAGTGGATTTAAGACTGAAAAAAGAAAAAGGTGACAGTTTACTCAAAAGACTCCAGTTGGTACATATGATCCATGAGAATGGAATGTATATATACTTTGAAAATACAACCTGGATGACAAATGAAGTGATATATTCTTGTAAAAGACTCCAAAATAGGAATCAGAATCTCCTGTTACTGCAGAGAATAGGCATTCTGAACATAATCCTCAATTCTTGTAGTTTTTAAAGTTGAGGAAGAAACTTGACTGCTATAATTGCTATACTCTTTCATTCCCTTGTTTTTTTTTTCTGTGTATTTTACTCACAAAACAGTCCAGAACCAAAATGGCGAACCTATGGCAAGCGGGCCGAAAGTGGCACACAGAGCCATCTCTCCAGGCACAGCAGCTGTTGCCCGTTGATGTTCCAGGTTCTGGAGCACACATGCGCACTGGCCAGCTGGTCTTCGCGTATTTGGAAGCGCTGGAAACCGGAAGAGCAGCTCCCTGGCGGGCATGCGTGCACTGGGAAGCTGATCTTCTGGTTTCCGGTGCCCGCAGGCGCGCTGGACAGTTGGCCTTCATACACGTATGCGGACCAGAAACTGAAAGACCAGGTGAACAGCGCGTATGTGCACGCTGGAAACTCTTGCTGGTGCTCCCCCACGTGCATGTGCACTCTCCCATTTCGGCACACTGGGCTAGAATGTAGTTTTGTCAGGCACAGATCTTTTCTTACCATTGCCTGAAGTGAAGAATAATCACTGATTACTGTAAAGGCAAATATGTCCAACCAAAGGACCATATTTTCAATTTACATAGGCTTTTAAAGGCATGAGTCACATTCTGCAGAAACGTCATTACTAAAGACAAAATGTCTTCAATTCAGAAGCTATTTATTTTAATAGGCTACTAAAAAAAAATCTTCTCGTTTTATTTGGGTAGTGGAATTATACAGGAATGAGAACTCTTGGGGGGGGGGGGATTATAAGAATAGAGATTAAAGGGATAGCTGCAAAGAAAATTTAATCAGGAAACATGGTACGGAATTCAATGGCCCAGAGAGCATCTAGTTTTATTAATTTGAATAGCAAATTGCAATGTTTCTAGTTTTCATAGCAAATTTCTGTAAGCCAGATTGCTTAACTCAGAGAAATTGACAAGCTTAGCTCGTATGTGGTACCTATCCAACATTGCTTTATATAGAACATAAATACTTCAGTTTATTATTTCACACTTCCTTTTTCAGCTGTGAACTTATACAAAAGGTTTGCTAATGGAAATAGATCAATTATCTTGGTTTTTCATAAGTTCCAGGATGAATCAATGGTATTAATGGAGAAAGAGAACTCAGTCAAACTGTTTTTGACTGAGCCAATGGAAATATTTCCTTAATATCAATACTGAAAAGAACATGGCTTACTTAGAATTATCATTCTTCTCTGAGAAATAAGAAGGGCTCAACTCAACTTCCCACTTGACAGAAGACAAAGTTGTAGAAATGAAAATGTAAAACATCTTCTTAATTTGTGAACCAAACAGTATTCTTCTTCCTAGCTCTGAGGGAACACAAAACGCAGTACATATATGTAATTTGCAATTTGGTGTGTTAACTATCAAATAAATGTTTCCACATCTTGAGCAGCAAAGACATAATCATATATTTCTATGTTGTTCCCGTGGGAAGTTATCAGACTGCAGAGTCATAAATTATAGACATTAATCAGAACTGTTAGCTGTAAGCACAGTCTTCCATACACAAGTATATTTCAACCATTCTCTATGCATCCTCTACAGGTCAAAAGAACCGCTGAGGATAAACATACTAGGCACACGAGGCTGTTGCAAGAATAGAAGAATTTCAAGTCCTTTTTCACATTCTGAACTCCACTTAACTATATAGACCTCTCTTTGTAGTTTGGTCGCTACATTCCAATAGTTTCATATAGGTTGTAGGGGGAAAGAAGGAAGATTTTTGTGGACACTTATGAAACTTGAAGCTCCCATCGTAAGTTTCCCATAGTACAAATCCAACCTTGAGATTTTCACAAAGTACCATGTTTCCCTGAAAATACAATCTACCCCAAAAGTAAGCCCTAGTTTGATTTTTACACATGCACCCAATATAAGCCCTACCCCAAAATAAGCCGTAGTTAGGACCCAGTCCATTCCAGGGTGCACGGGGTAGGGTGAGGTGCACAGGTAAATATTAAGCTAGGATAGGGATATGGGGGGGGGGAGGGGCTGGAGCTGCCCTACTTACCAGGCCTTGCACATCCCGACACCTGCCTTGCCAGACCATTTCTGTGGCCACTTGCCGCCGTTTATGTGCATCACCCCCGGCCTCCGTTTCACAGAGGCCTTCCAGAATGGCCTCTGCAGTCAAGAAACGAGGTCCAGATTGTCACTCCCGGCTTCTCTTTCACCATCAGAGACCCTTCAGGAAAGGCCTCTGCCGGTGAAACAGAGGCTGGGGCCAACGTGGACAAGCGGCAACTAGTGGCCGCAGAAGAAGTGGGCTGGCAGCAGGTTCCTGCTGTGCAGGGATACCACAAAGTGAATCAGTGGAAGACACCCCCTGAAAATAAGACCTGGTACCTTTTTTTGGTGGGGGGGGAAATATAAGACTGGGCCTTATTTTCAGGGAAACACAATTTCTATTCATGAAGGCAATTGTTTTATCACAGTATTGTGGTTTTTTTTTTAACTAAGTGGTATTTGGAAAGTAATTTGGGTCTCAAGATCTTTACTTAGATCCTAACTGCTATGTTTATTTTTCCAAATAAAAAGAAACGCTTACGCCAGTTTAAATTCAAAACCAGTACCACAAACCTTAGGCAAATTCAGCTTAAAGTAGCAAAGAATACAAAATCCAGAATTCCTTAACTATTTTAAATAACATTATCATCAAGAGATACTCATTTTCCCTGAACTAGGGGGACTGACATTCCTTTGCTATCACAAAGTCTGAAAAAATACAGAAAATAAAAGATTTGTTATGTTTTTTTATCCGATAGACATCACTGAAAATATATTAGCATTCATTCAGAGTTATGATTCTAGTAAAAATAAAAAACAAAGAAAAAAATGTAACACTGAAGAGTAATAGAAATAAAAAAAGAAATAAAAAAGCATGGAGCTCTTAGAAGTTTCTAGACTAGACAAAGTTCATATTCCTTTTCAAATGCTGGAGCAGGATAGGTAAACTTGTTAATGAATCACTTCTCTTTTTTAACTCATTTCTACAATTCATTATACCAATAGAGAAAAATGAAAGTAAGGATTGTTTAACATCAAGTGGTTGTTACATTTCAGAGATGATGAATATTTTTTGGATCAATTTAGATAATAGATTAGTGTGTAAGGATTCTGATTTCACAACATTTGTAACAGTTTAATAAAAAAGCAAAAATTTGAATTTCTATACTTCATCCAAGAACAACATGTCAGAATTATTGTTCTGTTTACTTGGGTTTTTCAACTGAGTACCAATCTTATTCAAATCCATTTCCTACTTTTCTATTGATTTGTAATACAAAGTTTAGCTCCCAGCTAAGTCAGGATTTCCCAAAAGCAACATGCAATGTATCTAAAATCTATCTACCATTCATACAAAGCATGTTCTCTTCATGAGGACTCCATTCAATGGCATACCTGAGTTAGAAAAGGTGCTATAGCAAATAGAAATAGAAATCCACCTACACAGTAGTCATAGAACAGTTTATTGTAGAACAGTTTATTGTAAGGAATGATGGACATCTATTCTACTGCCAGGTTTTCCTCAGAAGTTCTGCTGGCGTCTTTTCTTTGCTTCAATGGCATCTAGAATTGGTTGCCGCTTTGATTGATATCTTTGGCGAACCTCTTCTATCTCCTGCTCCATCATGGGATCGAGTGTCCCAAGTCGTCTTTGAAGTTCATCAACTGTCCAGTTCCTCAACTAAAGAAAAACATAAGGCAAAATAAATAAAATAGAGTGAACTTGCAACAGACAAAAAGAAGAACAGATAGAAATAGAAAGATTGAACCAAACATGCATTATACTAAATGGTTTGCTAAAGAGTAATCTGGAGTAATTTACTTTTAGCAAATAAGTGTAATGAAATTTACTGCTAACACTTGGACCTAATTACTGTTCTTACCTTCAATTGCCTTGCCAAAAATGCACTTTTAATCATGATCATATCGTAATACCTAATTCCCAGGTAGTGGGAATATTTTCCCTTTATTATATAACAAATGATTCACTACTATGCCTTAATTCAGCAGAAAACAACTGTATATCATGTGCTATATATAATATAATTAATAACCTAAATTGCTAACTAATATTATTTACAGGTAAGTTCTTGACTTATATCTGGTCATTTAACTAACTTCTGAAGTCATAAGGGCCTTAGAAAAAGTGACTTATGAACTGAATTTGCATTTACAGGTACCCAGAGTCATGTAATCACAATTTGAGTGCTTGGCACCTGGCTTGCATTTACTACTGATTGCAGCATCCTACAATCATGTGATTACTATTTGTAACCTTTTTTGCCAATCCCTAGGAAAACATACCCATTAGAGAACCTGAATTCACTTAGCAACTGAGTGATTTGTGAAATAACCATAGTAATTCACTTAACCACCATTGGGAAAATTGTATAATCAAGTCAGACTTGACTTACAACTGCAAGAACCGATGGCAGAAAGATAGTATCACCCATAACAATAACATGACTTTAGAAAACAATCATTTAAATGTATTAGACAAGCTAAAATTTTACACTATTCTTGTAATATTTGCTTCAAATCTGACTCTACAACATGCAACCCTCAGGAACTGAAATAATAGAATGAAGTATAATGCAAAAAAGAAAATATTAATTTAAGATTGAGTGGCGTGTTTTGATTAAAAGTCCCATTGTCTCAAATCACTAAAGAACTGCTAGATGTCTGGTTAAAATATCACCTTCCACCCTTAGTTTTTCAAATAAAAATACTGAGTATTTCTAAGATTAAGCCAAAGGGTCCCCATTTAATACATGCACAGATAAATAGAAGGATTGTTAGATAGAAATGCCATGCACACACAAAATGCAGTATTCAGAAAGAATCTTGACTGACTTTTCATGATCGAGCTAATTAAAGTTTCTAGCTTTTTATTTTTTTATTTTTTTTCCAATTTGCAGTGAGCCAGAAATTGCTTTAATGTTGATCTCCTGCAACAATAAGCCAGATTTGCAGGAGAACCAAATAACCATGGCGAGATTCTTGTCTATTTTCATATATTCATACAAAATCCAGATGGGCAGAAAACAAAAACAAACCAAGAGTAAGGAAGTATCCTGGTTTCAGACACAAAACTGGAAAAAAAAATCAAAATAGTGTTTCAAAATTTCTGTTGCTAAGTGAGACATTTCTTAAGTGAGTTTTGTCCCATTTGACAACCTTTCTTCCCACAGGTGGCAAATGAATCACCCCTGTTATTAAGTTCGTAACATAGTTGTTAAGTGAATCTGGCTTCCTAACTGACTATGCTTATAAAAGATGATCATATAACCCCGGGACATTCCAACCATCATAAAGAGTCAGTTGCCAAGTATCTGAATTTTGATCACATGACCATGGGGCTGCCACAATGGTCATAAGTGTGAAAAACAATCATAACTCTTTTTTTCAGTGTTCTTGTAACTTCAAATGGTCACTAAACTAATTGTTGTAAATCGAGGACAACCTGTAATTCATGTTCTCAAGAGCACTTCACTCAATAACATTAAGGTATCATGCACTATTTTGATCTCCAGAGACCATTTTATAACTGCAATATGGCTTTTTTCTCAATATGGGAGTATTGAAAGCATTGCCAGAACTATAATAAAATAGAAGAGCAGGAAACTGAACCATTGGTGTGTGTGTGTGATGCAACACATAAGTGCAGACCTCTCCAGATACAGATTAAGTGACACTACTCCATTCCAAATATGTCATTAACATCTTCCACAGATTAAAGCTTTTAGATCATAAACTAGGTCCTGACAGAGGGCAGACACATTAGTCTATTTCCATTTCCATAGACATTATTCATACATAAGTTCATTCTGTCTGTTTCTTACCCAGGAACAGCACAGAATAAAATACTGAGAAGTTAAACAATGAAAGTGAAAGTTAAACAATCTTCTATATATATATAAATGGCTATGTGTGTATGACCCAGCATAAGTCTGGAATGCTTCGAGCAATTTCAACCAAACGTGGTACACAGATGACTTACTCTGTTAAAAAAAATACTGCGGGGTAAGATGCCCTAACACCCATCGGTGTGTATGTTCTGTTAAGATACAGCCTGTTGTGCCTCAAAATGGCTTCTACTATACTGCTGTAAAATGGCTTCTACTGCTACTGCTGTAAAATGGCTTCTACTGTACAGTGCAGTGGAGTTGCCATGGTAATGGCTTCACAGTACTCCACAAGGGGCCTCCCTCTGGTAAGGGGCACAATCCAACATTAGAAAATAGGTTTGGTCCGGATATTTCCCCCCTATAAATAAATAGTCTGGTAACGCTGGGTTATCAGCTAGTTATCTTATAACCAACAGACAAATCTGGAAAACACAATAAAGCTCTTTACTTAATAACACAGACCAATTGTAATAACTGAGCACCCATTCCAGCAGTCAACTTTGTTAATTACATGGGATTCTCAACTCAGCTCTAGTTGATGAGAAAAAGAAACCTAAAATTCTAGGCCAGGAAGTAACTTTACTGGATCCCCTAAGTAGGATATATTGAAGAGAAGTTAATAGGCTGAGGTAAAATTGAAACCATGAAGTCTATGGGAAGATAGAATGAAAGAAAAGTTGAAGTTCAAATGAATTATTTATAGACCTTATAGTAGGCTCTACCAGGAGTTAGGCAAGTTTCAATATGTGTGGGAATTTATCTTCATGCTGTATTGTGTGGGATCACAAAAACTCTGTTCTAAAGCATCTTATAAGCAGGCTGTGTCTAGCCTAGTGTGCAACAAAATTTTGAAGCCTCGGTACAATCTCAACAATACAGGCGTGAAGCAAAACATGTTGTATTGAAAAGATAATAACACTGTCTACGAGGACAAGTATTAAGATATCTTAAGTTTCCACTATCAGTTTTTATCTTATTGTCATAGGGGGGGGGGGAATTGTGTAAGAGTAGTAAAAAATCATCTTATTTTTTGGGAAAAGCCTCTATAGGGAAATTTACTGGATAAATATATTATATTTCATTCCGAGGGAGGTAGAAATCTTTTTCTTTAAATGTTTGCAGTGTTAAAAACTATGTTAGTGCTTTTACATCTTCTGATATTCCCCCAGTTTTTGTTTTATGTCTCAAATTACTTCCATCCCTTACTATTATTTTAAATGTTATCTTCAACCACATATTTTAAGACCCCATTATTTTTTTGGCATTTTATGTTTTAATGTACCTACTGAGCATCCAGAAAAAAGTGGTTATAAAGCAAGCTGGAACTACAATCAATAATTTAATAATAACAATACTGCAAGGACTATAAATGACACTGGGCATGTTTTAATTATCAATGTTCTAAGTAAGCATCAGCATTTAAATCTGCTTTTGAAAATTTTCAATTATGTCCTGAGATGACTTCTGACATTAGAAATTACATTTGTTCCAACACTGATAATGACCCAAGCATCATACATATTTATCTGCATGCCTGGGAGGTTTTTATAAAAACAGTGAAAGCATTTCCAAAAACACAAGGTTTCTTTGCCACAACAGCTACTTGGGGGGGGGGGGGGGGAGGGAAGCCAGTGACTCTTAGCTCTTCAGACTCATAAGCTCTCTGGACCCAAGCATTGTTCTGTTGCCAAGAGAGCAGCTTGGCCAGTTTTCTGTACAAATTTCACTCAAGAGTTATTTACTTAACATTTGTTCTAAACATCACAGTCAGTGGCATAACATACAGTAGCTGATCTTAACTGTTCTTGGAAAAGCTACAATAGAGATTAGTACCTGGATGGGATCAGGAAAACCTAAAGCAATGGTCTAGCCTTAAAAATTAAATAAAACACCCCCAAAAGTGACAATAGCAAATCCATACTATTGTCAAGAAAATGACAACTATATGGCACCAGGTGTGCAGCTTGACTTTACTATTTGTGAATATAATCTTCTCCAAATCTTTATCATATACTGCGCAATTCGTTGTCCTGAAACACTGAATGCAAACCAAAAGAAGCATGAAGCGTAAGTTTAGTTAACCCGTTGGGCTTGCTTTATTTATGGTATTGAAGATTGTAACTTCAATCTTAGCCTATATTCAAATATACAGTATTGGCTTGCCGACTTGTTAATGTTATCTTTGCAGGTAGTTCTAGATTTACAACCACAATTGATCCCAATGTTTCCACTGCTAAGTAAGGCAGTTGTTAAGTAAGCTGCAACCCATTTTGCAACTTGTTTTGCCACAGTTGTTAAGCAAATCATTGGAGTTGCTAAGTGAATCATGTGGTCTTTAAGCAAATCTGGCTTCCCTCTTTGACTCTGCCTTTCAGAACTCTGCTGGGAAGGTTCCAAATGGTGATCACATAAGCCCAGGAGAGTGCAACTGTCATTAATATATTCCAGTTGCCCAGTGTCTGAACTGGGGATGCTGACCAGTGAACATGGGGATGCTGCAACAGTCATAAGTGAGAGAGCTGGTCATAAATCACGTTTTTCAGAGCCGTTGCAACTTTGAACTTTGAACTTTGAACCAGTCACTAAACGGATGGCTGTAAATTGTGGACTACCTATATCTGAAATGGTGAGCAGATATCAGCATTTTTGGAAAATAAAAGGTTCATACTGTGAGGAAATTTCAAATGCTTGAGAAATGTAAAATAATCTCAATCACATATTCCCAGATTTCTATAAATGAGTTATAAAGCTCATCCTTTGAACCTATTCATTT